TTATTTTCAATCTAACTAATTGTTTAACAGTTACACATAAAATTAATTAACTAACATTAAAATTAATGAGTAAAACAAAACTTAGCATGTCTAGGGGTTAATTTGAGGGGTTAATAGTTACACATAACGTTAACTAAATAACATTAAAATTAATTAGAACAAAAACTTAGGTTGGATTTAATTGCACAATCGAAAGTCCAGGGGTTAATTTGAAGGTTTTACTGCACATTCCAAATGTTTGAAACCGTTTTGTAAATATGCAGAAGTTCAGGAACCTATCTTGCAAATACTTAAAACTCCACCATTGGAGAAGATCGAAGCTCTCTCTTCGCCGGACCTGGAGCCGATTCTAACGATGGCGATGGTTGACAACACGAAGAAAAGCTGAGACGGCCTGAACGAAGATTTTTGTGGTGGTTGAGCACGATGAAGGAGGAGACGACATGGGGGAAGCTTGGTCGCGGTGAAGCTTCGCAGTGGTGAGGTTGATTTCGTATTAGTTACAAAAATGAAGAATACTCAGATTTGGAGAAACAGAGAGACATTATTTCGTCTTATGTATAAAAGAGAAGTCCACTGACACGAAACACAGAGCTCTGAACCATAAAAAAAGATAGTAAGGGTAAAACGGGAAGAGAAAATGGTCTCTGAAGCTAAAGGTAAAATGCATATTATCTGTCGGTTTGGGTGCACTGGCACCAAATTCTATAAAAATATTTGTAGAAATATTAACTAATAAATATTTATAAGAGAATTATGCCCGCAAGTGCGGGCAAAACACCTAATATATCAATATTCAATATTCAATAATCGAGTATGTGTTTTATCAAAAATAAAAATCGAGTATGCAAATATGAGGGAAACATCATTGATTAATTTAGGTTGATGGCTCATATTATCTCACTGAAATGCTTCAAGCACTCTTTATATTCGATTTATTTTAAAATTATATGGAAAGAACATGATATATGACATTATGAATTTTTCCAGTCATTATTATTCTTACATTAAAATATTGATCATCATAAAATACTCTTAAAACTAGGATAAGACCCGCGCCTTGCGCGGAATAAAGCTATTATTTTTATTATGTTTTTAAAAATGAAACAATACTTTGGTTTCATTCGGATTAGAGGTGTTCAATCCGGATAGCGGGTTTTGGTTCGGCTCGATTTTTTGGTATTTCGATCATTAAAATATAACTACTATTTTAAATCTATATGTACTTCAGTTTGATTTGGTTTATATACCATCGGTTTTCAGTTTATTCAATTTTATACCAAAAACATAATTATTTAGTTTGAGATCATATTATATATTATACAAATATATAATATGATCAGTCATATTGTCACAGAGTTATTTATTAAAAAAATATTATATATTTAAATAAAAGAATAAAAAACAAAAAAGCTTCTATCATCTAATAAAATGATCAAATCTAGAATTAATATCAAAACACTAAATTTTGAAAATAAAAATAAAAAACAAAACAGAAGCATGAAAGAAAAGTTTTTATATTCTTCCATATTTAGTGTTCATCAAACCAATATGTCTTCGATTGAACACAACTTTGTTTGTTTAATGATAAAAAAAAGTTGTAAAGAATTTCAACTAATTGTTGTCCATCAAATTTATAATCTTTACTTCAATTTAGTTATTGCTAAAAAAGCAAAAGATCAAAATAAGAAGTCTTAGTTGTAATAAATTGTTAGCTATTTACAAATTATAATTATAGTTCAACTCATGTAACAAATATATATTCATGCGTCGTTATAAATATATACATATTTACATGTTTCAGATTAATCGATTATAAATCAAACCATATCCAAATCCTATGGTTTTTATAAAATCACATATTCGGTTTGTATGGTATATACCAAAAATAACCATATTATCGATTGTTAATATCTTTTAAAAATATAAAATTAAAAAAGAACTAAGATATTTAAATCATTGATAACAAAAAATTTCAATGTGAAAAAATTTAATAAGTTTATAATTTATAAATGTTCTTGAAAATTTATTGAAAATTTGGAAATTAAAATATTTATGTAATCTTATATGGTATATAGTTTAATCTGTATATATATATATATATATATATATATATATATTTTATTATTGAATGATACTTTTTACTTATATTGTTTTAAAATCATGTATATCTTTTTATAATAAAATGTTAAACTATTGATCATTAATTTTTAACATAATAATTTTAATAGTTTAGTTATTTATTCTCGTTTCTTAAAATTCAAAATATAACCTATACGAAAAAATCTAAAGTTTAATTTTATAGCTAATTTGATTGTTTAATTTATTTTAATAATATAAAATTAAAGAAANTATAAAAATCCAATGTGGACTTACTTATTTTTCAATTGAATTTAATTGACTACCTAATTGAATGACACGTATGCATTGGGGCCTCTTTTAATTAATACAAAATTGAGGTTACATCTTTTCAAATGTTCCTCAATTAATATATAAGGGATATTGACGATTTGCATATATCAATTTTAACATAAATTCCCAAGTTAACATATTAAGTTTTACATTTTACATATACACTTGCCTTTACCATTAAGTATGTACTTGGTCACAAAGTAATTTCCATTTTACATATACACTTCCATAAAACCATTACATGCAAATATGCAAATCGTTATCAAATCGTATATTTTCCTTTTCTTCCACTACATGCGTGCGGTATATATAAACTATGTTACATGTGTTATATGCGTCTCTAATTATTTTTCCCTAGCAAATTTCAATTGAACCTAAAGCTGACACGTCAGTTTAGTTGGTATGCTAATTGATTGACAACTAAGCAAGGTTACTTTTTAATTATTATAAACTTGAGGTTACATCTTTTCAAATGTTTCTCAATTAATATATAGGGGATGATCTTGGTTACTTCAACAAGTAGGGTAAGGAATACCACAAGACGCTAGTAGTGAGCTTGCGAGGAAGTAGCAAAGTGTTTCAAAGCAGGGTGATCCTTTATAAAATCACAAAAACATGGTCGTTGTGCTTTCAGTTTTCGGCCACAATGTGACGATGGTTTATCTCCAACGACTATAGCTGGAAAGTATCCTGTGATATCAATCTTGGTGCAAGGCGGTGCTGTAGATTTTACGACCACTATTGATTTGATCAGAGCTAGAGATAACACGAGGACTACAACAACAAAGGTGATGAATACAACTTGTAAACTTCATGTCTTCTGACTCTCTCTCCATGTCCTATATATGTTTTTCTTTGTTTTTATTGTCTATTTTGCGTACATATAATTGTTTTACTTTGGGATATGGTTAATTTCTAAAACTTTCGTGAACCGCCAGAACCCAAAATATTCTATTTATCAAAAAAAAAAAACCAAAATATTCTGACGGTATTACCAATTTTTTTTTTGAAATTAAAAACGTCAACCCCTTCTTATCTCTTTTCTTTTGTTAATTGAGCTATGTTAGTTTTAGGATATTAGATTCTTGGGTTTTAGGTTTGAATGTTAGATTTTTATTGGTATGAAAAGTTTTATGAGTTAGATCTTAAATTTTGTTGTTAGGTTGTGGTTTAGATAGGTTTTGATTGTGATTTTGTAGGTTGTTGTTTAATTTGTTGTTTTTGTTAAACTTAGAAAAAAAAAATATTATTATCTTGGTTACTTCATCATTCTTACATAAATTCTGGTAGGTTTTGATTGTGATTTTGTAGGTTGTTGGTTTAATATGTTGTTTTGTTAAATTTATAAAAAAAAATTATTATTATCTTCGTTACTTCGTCACTCTTATATTGTGATTTGGTAGGTTGTTGGTTTAATTTGATGAAATTTTGACCATTTTCCGATATATTTGTCAGAAATTTATGACGAAAATATTCTAAAGTGTACTTAGGTATGTTATTGAATATCACGTTTAAAGAACATAAATAAGTTTTAATCATGCTTTATTTTATTTTGAATTTTATCTATACTATTAAAGCAGATGACTGCTTATGAATCTACCCCTGATTTTTAAGGAAATTACAAAATATTCCACTTCCTTTTATTTTTAATCAAATCATCCATTTAAAGCTTAACTGAAAATCGCCAATTAAAAGCCCAATAATTTTAACATTTATTTGCAACGAAATAGGCTTCAAATCTATAAAAAAAATTATATATTTGTAAGTTTACAAATTTATCAAAAGAAATAGGTTTGAGTATTTGACACAGACCCGAACAAGAACCGACACGAAAATACAGATCCATGTCCGGGTTCGGGTCATTTCTAAAGTATCTGTTGGGTATTTTTTGTTTGGATCCGCAGGTCTCGGTTCGTCCGGGTCCTACTAGAAACCCGATCGGGTATTCTAAGTATCCACAAATTATGGTATATATTAGGTATACTTAGGTGATTGGATATATTTTTGATAATTTAGGTTTTTAAAAGTTTCAGATTTGGATTTTCGAATATAATATTAGGTTTTAGGTAAACTTTTATATTTCAAAAAAATATAATTCGGGTATCGGGATAAAATTCCGGGTATATTTTTGATTTTTGGGTCTGATTTTGGATAAAATTTTGGTTTTTTTTTTGCGGTTCTTCGGGACTTTTTAGGGTTTTCGTGTTTTGGGATCCAGTTTGGGTCCTTCGGATCCTTTTCGGGTCCTAAATACCCGAACCGACCCGATAATATACCCGAACCAACAAACCTGACAAGATCTGATCCGAAATCGACCCGAAAAATTATAGATACTTATATGGGTCCAAATTTCTAAGACTCGAAAGACATGAACCCGATAAAACTCGATCTAGACCCGACTCGAGGATCCGGATACTCAAAATTAAACAGTATATTACCCGCGCTTTAAAAGCGCGGGTCAAAATCTAGTAACTTATTTAAAACATTACACGAAATTGACGTACTATAATGTATTTTCAATCATCATCACTCTTACATAACATAATTGTTCATCAAATACTTTTATTACTTATCGTTTTTTCATCACTTCAACAAGTAGGAAAAGGAATACGACAAGACAGTAGAGCCAAACGACCTTGAGGAGAAGTAATATATGGCTTTAAAGCTGGATTCTTTATGAAATCACAAAAACATGGTTGTTGTACTTTCAGAGTCTGACAACATTGTGGAGATATTGGTCCTCCAATGAATATGCCTGGAAAGCATCCTGTGATATCAATCGTGAGGCAAGGTGGTTTGGTAGATTGAAGTTCAGATTTGATCGGAGCCATTGATGCCAAGAGGACAACAACAAACGCGATGGATCCTAGAGTTGTAAACTTCATGATGCCTTTTGACTCTCTCTCCACTTCCAATCCTAATCTTTGTGTTTGTTCTTATATTCTAAAATGTATTTGAGAATATTTTTAGTAGGATGGTGAAGTTATTTATGTAACACCATAACTACAATGCATACACATAATTAAGATAATTAAGTCAATATATCGTTGGTTTTCTATAATAGTTCATGACCAAAAGTAGAAAATTGTTTGACCAAAAGAAAAAGAAAATAAAGTTTATAGAAATATATGGTTTTATGGGTTTGATCTTGACTTCATCTCATATAATACATATCAAACTAAATAACATATTAAACTTAAGCTCCAATATATTATTTCCTTAAATAAAACCTACAAATTCATCTAATGTGATTAAGATATATATGACTATTAATGATTTTAAATGATAAAGATTTGTTAACAATCTGTATACTTTATATCATTTTTGTTTAATTTATTATTATTAAAATAAATTACATAACTACAATAATCATATAATAAAAAAATTAGATTTTTTATATATGTTGTATTTTGAAATTTTCAAAACGGGTATAATTACTAAAACTATTAAAAATTTCACATAAACTTTGGTAATTAAGGTCTAAATTTTTTTTCTAGAATAAATTACAATGATTATAAAATCATACGGAAAATAATTTTATTTTAATAGGTGTTTATGTTAATATATATATATATATCCTATCATATGAATAAATAATTTTATTTTAAACATAAGTATAATTTAAAATTTAACTTAATTTTTTTATTTAAGAAATAATTTTAAAAATATAATTTGCTAATATTCTTAGACAAATTAATAAATTATATTAAATTAGTTTTAAAACTTTATATGTAAATATTCTACTATCTGCTTCTTAAGAAAACATTAGGAAACTTGATAATGATCTACCAATTAAGCTCCGTGACACTTCATTTATTTTTTCTCCCTCAAATACTGAAAAATGAAAAGATATATGAACCAAACATATTAAATTCTAAGTTTTGATCTACACTTCTAATTACAATTGTTTCTGATCCTACGTATAGATAATTATATAAAATATCCAAAATTTCAAATACATATAGGGGGGTGTTAGTGGGAATTTAGAAGGATTATTAGAATTTTCAAGTTTTGTGTTATTGGTTTAGTGATTCTTACATTCTCATTAAAGTTTAATGTTATTGGTTTGATGATTTTATAATTCTAATTTTTTTTTTGTTATTTAAAAAGTTTAGATTTTAATGATTCTACAAATCTATTAAAGTTTGTGGTATTGAAAGTTACATTCTTAACATTTTAACACACAAAACAAGATTTTGAGAATACTACATATATCTCTTGGATTCTCAAAATCATTATAATACTTTATTTTCATAGATTTTTACAATATACAAAATTCTCTACAACTCTTTCAAAATTTAACAAATCTCTAAACTTTTAAAATCAACAAACTCTATAGAAATCTAAGTCCCACTAACACCCCCATAAAAACAACCATATGTAAATTTTAAATTTGTCAATACTAAAGTTTTACATTTTAATTATATACACTCACCCTACATAAAACGCATGTCTTATCCTAATTTATCTTTAAAAGATAATTATTTTCATAGATACTTTAAATTTGTGATGAAAAAAATTAAACTAATATATATAAATGTTAATTATTAATAATTTTGATTAACCATTTATACAAGTTGATAAATCTAACCATACCCTTTAATACTAAACTCTAATCAATAAACTTTAAATTCAAATGTTATATTTTTGAAAAGTGCTATCCAACTTATGATATTTCTACCAATTTCTGAATTATTTCTTAGACGAATTAGGATAACAGATAGTTAATATTTTTCTAATAAAATTGGCTTGTGGCTACAGTTGAGTTTTGACCTCTCTTAGTCTTAACAAACAAAAAAACAACCAAGAGTGTATCTTGGGAACATCCAAGTTTTATGTACACATGATCAAACCTTAAAAACCAGAAAGAAAAAATGGAAACATATAGTTACTATTACAGTAGAGTTTAGCTTGGAATCCAGGTAGATAATAGGTAACCCGGTTAAGTAAACACTGCACCCGCATCTGATATTACCTTCTCTACTAATACAAACCGTGAAACGTGTCTTTAACAAATGGTTAAAAGCTCTCAGATCACACGGAGCTCTGTAAGAAATGCGGCGCATAGGTCCAAGAATAAAAACTGAGGACCGTTAACTCTCTGTATATCCAGTAAGTACTTCTCTTCCCGAGCTTTGTATAGCTGTTTCAAATTCAAAAGTAGTACAAAAAAATTGTTGGAAGTGTTCTGTAATGATATATGTGAACATTGTTACTATGAAATAGTTGGTTCAAGTTTTGGAGAAGGGGTCTAATAGTCCGAGAAGGGGTCTATAGTCCGAGAAGGGGTCTATAGTCCCTGTCCTAGCCGGTTTAGTTTTGGTGATATATGTGAGTTTGCAGTTACCTGAAGTTCAAATTTGATGACGGTAGGTGAGGTCATGGCACAGTCATCTTCAATGATGCTGGATTCATCTCTGAAGTGGAGCTGATTGTTGTCCATAGTATTCTGACCATGAGCAAAACCTGGAACCCATCGGCATTTCATGTTGTAGTGACCAATCTTCTTCCAACACACGTTGAGTTCTTGAAGAGCTTTCAATACTTCATTCATGATTTCACGAGGATGCGCATGGGACTGTTCAAAATACAACANTCAATGATGCTGGATTCATCTCTGAAGTGGAGCTGATTGTTGTCCATAGTATTCTGACCATGAGCAAAACCTGGAACCCATCGGCATTTCATGTTGTAGTGACCAATCTTCTTCCAACACACGTTGAGTTCTTGAAGAGCTTTCAATACTTCATTCATGATTTCACGAGGATGCGCATGGGACTGTTCAAAATACAACAACGGTATCAGATTGATTAATCAGTTTAGGGATGTGCAGATCAAAAGTATTTATTCACAAACAATAGAACAGATTATAAAATCCCCAAGTTTCCAAATAATATGATAACCACAGCAAAAAATAGTGCAGATTGGTCACTACAACATGAAATGTACAAACCTGAAGTCCAAGAGCCCATTTACGGTCACTTGGGACTTGTGATCTTCCTCCCAACCCGTACTGATCAATATGTGCAGGAACCCAATGGCCTAGAGGTGAAGCAGCCGCTTCAGCTGGGCGCATAGGATTGGAACCACTGTCCTAGTTGAGTAAAATTGTAAAGGTGAAAATGTTAGTACTGAACACAAAAGGTAGAAGTCAGGAATGATTAGCACAGTTATGTCATCATGTCAAAAAAGAATTATGCATTTATATGTTGGAAAGCTATCTGCTGGAAGAAGTGAAAAAACACATACTGTTGTCTCCTGAAACTCTGATTCAAGATAGCCACTTGGAACACGGTACCGGTTGTCCAATAACAGGTAGTATGTAACAGTAGCCTGCAACAAGCAGCAAGTAACATTTCAGTAACTTACTGGAAACTAATATATGGAGATTAAAAGCATTACAGAAAGAAACTACATACATCGTTTTGTACTCTGTTGCGAAGAGATTCCATAACCTGGTTTCTATCAAATCCCAAGTTAACCACTTCTTGAACAATCTCCTCGTTAATCTGCACAAAATATACGAGAAGCTTGTTACTATCACAGTATCACCGCAAGTGAATCTTTTGATGTTCCAAATGGTGCTGAAAACAAACCTTCTTGGCCTGCTCCAGTGTATCAGGTGGAGGAACAGCAAGATAACGAGGAAGACGAGTCTGGAACCAACGGTGTTGACGGATCTCAGGAATGGTGATTCGTTTCACTGGTTCAACTGTAAGCATCTTCGGGATAAGGTCTCTAGCCTCAAGTGATAAATGACTTGGAAGAGTGTAAATACCACCCTAAACAGAAAATTAACACCTCAGTTAATTACTTCACATAATCAATCTCAAGAGTCTTTGAGCTGAATCAATGCAGGTTGTTACAGTAACCTTAATTTTCTTGAAAAGGTTAGGAATGTTTTCATCATCAAAAGGAAGAGTACCACATAGTAACGCATATAATATCACTCCGCAACTCCATACATCTACTTCAGGTCCAGCATATAACTTTCCTGATATAACCTACAACAAGTAAGGAGATATGATTCATTTAAAATTTTTTTTTTTTTTGAATAAAATTCATTTGAAATTTAAAACTTTCACATAGATGTACTGATAGTTTACTAAACAGAATACCTCAGGAGCAGCGTAGTTAGGGCTTCCACAACTGGTCTTCAGAAAATGCCCATCCCTCATGACATTACTCAATCCAAAATCCGCAATCTTGATATTACACCTCGAGTCCAACAGCAAATTCTCAGGCTTGAGGTCTCTATGAACAACCATATTACGATGACAATACTCCACACCAGAAATTATCTGAAACTCAGACATGAATCAAACAATTACACAACTCAAGAAACTCAAGATAATGAGAGATAAAAACAAAACAAAAAAACAAAACCTGCTGGAAAAAATTACGAGCCTCGTCCTCTTGTAACCTCCCTTTCTCAACAATGTAATCAAAAAGCTCTCCTGATTTAACATACTCCATAACAACGTAAATGTCACTAGGAGTCTCTATAACTTCATATTGCCTAATGATATGATGATGCATAAACAATCTGAGGATTTTTATCTCCCTCCTCACTGTAACAGAATAAAATTAAACAATGTAATTAATTAGAGAGAGAGGCGCTAAAAGAGTTGGCATGTGTTGTTTATTTGTTAACCTTTCTCTTCCATGTCCATGTTCTTGATTTTACGGCGATTGAGGATCTTGATAGCTACCTTGTGNCTAATGATATGATGATGCATAAACAATCTGAGGATTTTTATCTCCCTCCTCACTGTAACAGAATAAAATTAAACAATGTAATTAATTAGAGAGAGAGGCGCTAAAAGAGTTGGCATGTGTTGTTTATTTGTTAACCTTTCTCTTCCATGTCCATGTTCTTGATTTTACGGCGATTGAGGATCTTGATAGCTACCTTGTGGCCAGTGACAACATGCTCAGCTATTTTGACTTTGCCGAAAGATCCGATTCCTAGGGTTTTACCGAGTTTGTAGTTTGCTAGAATCGATTCTACTCCGTTGACGCCGAATCTGTTTGATGAATCATCCATTTTCCTTTATCTGTTTTAAAACAAGAACATTGTTGTTAGTAAAAAAAAATCTTAAACCACCATAACCGTCTAACAAACTCTGCAACAGAATCTAACCATCGATACACTCATCAAGCAGAAGAAAATTGAGTAAATAATTAAACATTTACCGCTTGTTTTCGAGCAGATCCTGGAATTGGTTGTTGAAAGAAAGAGCGAAGCAAGAAATCTACACAGAGAGAAGAATTCGTGGAGGTTAGATGATATATATAGAGATGAGGGAGTTAATGTGTTACGGTGTAATCGGAGAATCTTGGGAACTTTAAGATTCTGTAACTTCCTTTCCGTGACGAAGAGCTGAGTCACTCCTTTTGACTCCTCTTGACGAGTGTAGTGACCAACGGAATCAAGGATGGATTCTTGACCAATCCCCCCTCCCTCCAATACTATTACGCCATGTATGTTATTTATGTAAATTAATTTAGTTTGTTACTATTAAATACTCTTTTGACTCCAAAAGAAAACATTGCTATTTTTATGAATATACATTTTTTATTTTTATTTACGATTTACAATGCTTGTTTTTGTAAGACTACAATGCTTCTATGTTTAATGTCCTCAAATATAGATATGCTTATGTTATTGGCATATGCCAAGAATTTCTTGATTTATTAGAGAAAAAAAGATACTTATCAATACTAAAACCAAATTTCATTCTTTTAAACAACCTTATGTATCTGCACAAAAAGAAGAAAAAAACTTATGTATTAGTGGGGCTAGAGATGCTTTTTCTTTCCCCACATCACATGTCATTGTTATGAAGTTCACTTCATTTGTCATCTTTGTCGAGAAAAACTAACGACGGATACGACATTTGATAAAAAAACGTGGTTCAATTAGATTCACAAGTTTGATAAATACTCTCTCCGTTTCGAATTATATGTCATTCTAGAGGAAAAATTTAGTTTCAAAATAAGTGTCGTTTTAGAGTTTCGAGACAAAATTTATTATGTTTATATGATATTCTATTTTTCTATTGGTTGAAAAATGGTTAGGTGTATTGATAATTGTGTTTTTATATTGAAAATATGTAAAATTAAATGTTTCCTTAATCTGTGAGTAAAAACCTAGAATGACAAATAACCTGAAACGGAGGGAGTAGAATATATCAATCTATGTAGTATCTATCTATAATCCAAGCCTTTTGGAGTGATTCATGAAACACATCAAGTCTATTATTTTTGGATTACATTTTTCCAACAAGACTCTTCCGAAAGAAAAAAAAAAGGTTTATGCACATATATATTCGTGTAACGTCTCCAGCTACTTTGAATTCAGTAAGAGGGAATGGCTGCAAATCGGTACCCTTCAGCTCCTCTCCATGAATAGTAAGCAATCCGTGTCTCATAGAACCCTGAACATAGCCAACACAATTATGAAAATATGTCAAGGCCATTAAAATCAACGTCACCATCCACAGTTAATCATATAGCATACATGAATAAAGAGAACAAACAAAGAGAAGAATCATTTTCAGCAGATACAAAGAACACAAGCTGAGTCTACTAACTTGATCCAACTCACTCAGTCTCCACATCAAACAAAGGAATCCACAAGGGTTTCTCAAATCAAGCATACAAGAACATGACATTCACTGCTCTTTTTTCCAGAACACTAGAGAATCTCATAAGCATAAAAGGGTAAAGAAATCATAATTCCAACAGAAAAATGGGCACAAACTGCATGATTTCAACAGACAAAGAGCACAAGCTTCATAATTCCAGCAGACAAGGAACACAAGCTGTGTCTACCTAATCACACTCACTCAATCTCCACATCAAAAAACGTACATTTTCAAATCCAGCACCATGACGTTCACTGCTCTTTCCAGAAAACTAAAGGATCTCAAAAGCATAAAGGGCTAAAGTAAACATTGTATCAACATACAAAGAACGAGTACAATCTGTGCCATGTTGATCCAGTTCACTAAATCTCCACATCAAACAAGAGACTCCACACCACAAGGTATTTTTCATCAAAACATCACTGAAATTAAGTATCAATCGAGATTGAGGAATATATTAAATAGACTAAGAATCCTCCAAGTCTTACCAGAAAACTAACGAATCTCAGAAGCATAAATGGCTAAAGTAAACATTGTATCAAGTATCAACAGACAGAGAACGAGCACAATCCGTGCCATGTTAATCCAACTCACTAAATCTAAAATCTCCACATCAAAACAACATAATCCACAAAAAAATTCATATCAGCACCATGCACTCAGAACAGCAACATGACATTCACTACACTTTCCAAAGACTAGAGAGAGCATCTCAGAAACATTACTATCTAATGAAAACATAACTTCAACAAGCAAAGAGCACAGCTCGTGCCATGTTCATCCAATTTACTAAATCTCCACATCAACAAGCCCCGTTTCCATCAAAACACCATTGCAATGAAGTGTCCAGCGAAGACGACAAACTCAAAATAGACTAATGAAATCCTATCTAACTCTTACCAGGGAGGAAAGTGAGAATCCCAAGCACAAGAAGCGCGTAACCCTGAGAGCTATCTCCTTCCATGTGACCAGTAAATATAAAAACCGTCAAAAGAAGAAGCAAACAACCAAGGAAGAGAAGAAACAACGCCAATGCTATCGATTTCCACGGAACTCTATCAAATGCTTTCGGTGTATAATCAAATCGAGGATCGTAATCTCTCCTTCCACCACCGTTTGCATAATCCTCATCATCTTCGTCCCCTGGAAGCTGAGCGTACCGTACGTTTCTCCTCGTCGCCATTCCTGAATCAAGAGTAATCACACAAACCACATAACTACTTCGCATCCACAACAATACAAAATCAAAGTCTAACAAAGCGCGATTGAGACTACGTAAAGCAGATCTAGACCGAATAACTTCGCATAGATAAACACACACGAACACAGTCTAACTAAACGAGATCGAGAGTACGTAAAGCAGATCTATAACGAGATTCAAATCAATCGCGGGAAAATTTGAGAAGCGTGAGGAGTTAGAACCTGAAAACAGCTATGAAGAAGAGATCGGAGTTCGATTATTCCGTCGTCGGGAAGATGGAGATGGAAGTAGGATCTACTTTGACGAGAGGATTTGCATCGCTTCTTCTTCTTCGTCGTCTCTATCGCGACGACGACGCCTTTGGTGACTCTGCTTGATTCTGTTTGAAAATGTTGCAGATTAGATCCCTTATTTTTCACTTGTTTTAGTTTTTAAACCGCAACTAATAAACGGTGTCGTTACATCTAATATGGCACTTTCAGTATTCAGTCCTCATGATGCAAAAGTTAAGGGTTGTAGTGTGATTAGGAGGTAATTAAGAACTTTATGAATCCTACACTTCTTTAGCTTATCCAATAATAGCTATGGAATTGCTTGGTTGATTGTATACCTTTAGTTTTTTTACTTGATTTTTTTTGTTTTTAATTTTTTTTGTAGATTTATTTTCTCACCGATAAATAAAAATTATAGAAAAAATTGATTTTGATAGATGATACTTTTTTTTTACTTTTTATCATTTTATTAAAATGTTTTAGAATATACTTTTGGTCTAAAACACTTATTATTTTTTTCGTCAGCCGTCGATCTATTCTCAAAGACCTTACATCCATTCTCAATCAACCTTTTAAACATGTTTAAGAACAAAAAGAAGTAGTTGCTCAAAAAAAAGAAGAAAAAAGAAGTCATGGGGTCAATAATGAAAGAAGAGAAAAAACAAGGGTAAAATTGGAATAAAGAGATAAAGAGGATGTGTATAAAGGGGGAGAAGGAAGCCCTAGAGAAAAGATGAAAAGAGAGTGCCTGAGGCCGAGCGCTTCCCTCTTTAGTGAGGGGTGGCGTGGTATACCCACGAGAATGGTTTCTGACGGATTATAGTTGTGGCGTACCCTAAGTGGTGCGTAGGCGCACATCATTCAATAGGGGCCCTTTGTCTCTGCTTTGCTGTTTCCTTATCTTTAGGCCGTTGAAGCAGAGTTGTTCTTGCCCTACATTTCTCTCTTACGAAATTTTGTTTCTTTTTATCAATAGATCTTGTGTTTTATTAATGAGTCTCTCTGAGTTAGTTTCTGCTTTGCTAAATTTTCATTGAAAGTCCAACTAAAATGAAAATAGTTTTCTTGTTTGCCCATCATTTAATCATTTTCCAGTGAACAAAAAGTTTGTAGATGTTTTTTTTTTTATATCAGCTAGCTCATAATATTCATTAATGAGTGATCAATAGATTTTTTTCAAATGATCTAAACATGAAAGTCTGTTTTCTTGTGCTGAAAAAGCAGTCTTGTTTGAAGTAGAGGAACAATAATCTAACTCACCTAATGAGCAACTACTTCCTCAAACAGCGGAGAGGTCTTCTAGTGTTGTTGGATCTACACACTTGAAACAAAACTTAAAAGAAATAAAGGAACCCTATGAGCTTCACAAGTCTAGCCTGAAAGTTGTAGCAATAAAACCTTCCTCACAGTCTACTTGTATCACTAGTTATGTAAATCCTAGTCTATGAAATCAGAAGTGGTGTGTTGCTCATTTCAAGGATAAGTCAATATACTTGTTTATACAGAGTACAAGTACATAAACGATTCATAGTGTTTGATTATAACTTAAAAGAAACTCACTTCCATCTCAGAAATATAACTAAACAGAATATATAAGGTCACAACAAGTCTCATCCATAGATGAGGGAAAGTTTCAAATTTGATTTGTTGTATTGTATACCTGGAACTAGTTGAACTTTGTCATTCTTATCAAGAAGAGCAACAACAGGATCAGCTTCAGATAGTAACTTAACGACCTTTCCAAATAAACAATATCATGGCTTTGATTTCACAAATGAAAATTTTTTTATGTACATAAACCACACCTTTTAGCATTTAACCTTGAAAACGGGAATCTTCTTTGTACAGTTAAACCAACACATGGTACAAACAGTGTAAAATAACCTTAACAGATTTGCAAAGTTTAAAAATTCAAAAAACAATCCAAAAAGACATTACTAGTTTAGTATCAAAACATTTTTTTTTCAGTCTAGTCTTCTAAGCAAGTACTAAACTTGAACTTCTTTTGTCAAAGGCATGATCCAATCACCATACAAATTCCCCACCAAGATCGGACTGATCTTGTAAACTTGAACTCTTCTTCTTTCTCCTCCATCTCCACTTTCAGTTCTTGCCCATATGTTCTGGTTTTCATCTCAACTCTCTTCTTTACCCCCTCCTACACAGTCAAGAACGTCAGCATATCCATCAAATGCATCCTTATCCTGCAACAACACTTTGCAAATTCAAAAAGGTAAGATATGCATTAAAAAGACACAACAACAAAAAAATCATATCCACTTCGGACAACTACTTGTGCTTTGATAGCTGATTCGTATGCCTCAGGTGAGGCTTGGAACTTAGCCTCTGCAACAAATTTACCGTAATGGATCCTCTTTGAAAGAGACTGCAACAAACATCAAAAACTACATGATGACTACTTACTTACAAAAGAGCTAAAGAGTCAAGACAAAAAAGCAAAACCTGAAGGCAGATGGCATCACACACAGCTGTTGACCCGTAGTTACCATCATCACCTTTCTTCACTAGTCTTGGCACAAGGTCTCTAAAGTACATGATCCATATCTTATTGTTTATGTTTATCGAATCAGCAGCAAAATGCAATACCTATTACACAGCTCAAACAACTTTTGTTTCAGTTTCATTGCTTAAAAAGTAAAGACTCAAACTAAAAGCTATCATATAAGGTCCACCTTTGGGTATTGAAGAGGAGGTAACATAGGCTCTGGCAAATCCTCAGGGAAGTAAGGATGTTCATCAGGGCTCTTGTACCTACCAACCTAATCATTACCATAACAGAAACAGAACCAAAAGATTCAATCTTTGTTTCTTCTGAGAGGTTCCATTGTAAAACCTACCTTAGCGTGAAGCTTCTCAGTGCCTTTGAGCATGTACTCAACCAAAGAACCGTTGAATCCCTCCATGTCAAAGCAGTGGGATCATAAGTATCCGCGTTGTAACAGTACTTGGCTCTCTCCAACAGACCAAATATAATGCTGCTTCCTGTCGGATCAAAGAGTCTCTCTCGTATACCTTCTAGAGTCAAACTCTCGCTCTCATCTACTCGTCTCTTCCCTGTCAACGATCTAACAACAATAACGTAAAGGTTTAAACTTTATTAAAAGGCTTCTACTTTATGACTCATAACGGCATGAACAGAGGTGGCACGCGGCTTCGAGGGAGGAACAGAGCAGCAAAGAGAGAAGGAAGGTTTGTTAATGGGTCTGGAGGTATATTGCTCGCGTCGATGGTGGAGGAACACAGTAGCATGGGAAGAGCAAGAAGACGATGTCATTGTTAATATAATGACGTCTCCATTGATGAAAAACAGAGGAGATGGAGAAAACAGAGTAAAATCAGAGGAAGGGGCAGAGAGTCAGAGGATCATATGCAGAGGAACGAGAAGGGGTTTAGGTGCGGTTGGTAACGGAGAGAGACACACACACTTGCTGAGTTGGTAGTGAAGAGGAGAAGATGGCGAAAGGTAGGGTTCTCTCGCTGCGTTAACGTCTTTACTTTAACCCACAGAAGCCACCCACATCAAACTTTATATTATTACTTTTATGTTCACTTCTATACATAGAAATAGTTTATTTTTATTTTTATTTTTTTTAAATCTTAAATACCTTTATTAATATTTACCCAAAAGCCAAACCGGCCCAAAACAAAAATTCAATGGAACTTAAACATTGAAGAAGAGCAAAGAGACAACACAAACCGAGAAGTCATTAGAATAAGTCATTACAAGTCATTATAATAACCTAGAAATGTTGAAGAAAAGCAAAGAGACAACACAAACCGACAACCACAACCACAAAACAACAACCATCACCACATAGTAATACACACATACAAACAACCATCAAACTATCCACTCTTTCTGCTCAACCAGTCCTTCAGTAATTGACGGATCTCTTCGCTTTCAGGACATACACAACAGTGGAGCTGTTTTGCCATCACCAACGACATTGAAGACTATTAAGGAAGCTATGTCGTATCTGTTATCACAACAGAACTTCCTCCACCCTCCTCTGATGTAATACATGCTCTTTGATTCGCAAAAGAGCAAATTCGCAATGCATGAGTTTCCGTCCTTGTTCACTAGTATCACCTCCTGAAATTTTTTGTTCAACACACTACATTGCTGCGTAGCTGCCGCAGGAAACAGCTGCAAACACATAACAAATGAAAATTAGTCTTGGTTAAGTTTTGAAATAAACACAGAAAACGACTAACTACTTACAACTATGTCTTCTTCTAGGTTCTTATCTGTGACCTCAACCAAGAAACAATACTCAAATGAGATAAAATCAGCCCTTGCTCGTGATCCTCCTGATCCATAAGACAATAATTTAGGAATCAAAAGAGGACAGTGAGTTTTAATTAGACTTAATAATCTCACCTACAGCATCATGTGAGGAGGCTTCTTCCTTGGTCACGTGAGGAGGTGTATACCTAATCTCACAACATCTAGGACCAATAGAAGTTACATGAAACACCATGTGTGCTTCCTTCTTGAAGATGACGATGTCACCGACGCGGAGGTCATGTGCTCTGGCGAATGTTTCCCAACCTCTAGTGAGTCTTGTCCCTTCTTATATCACTGTCCAAGTCTTATCGGAAGCGTCCGATCTTAATTGCCATGATGTCTTGTTTGTCTTCCCTTCCATGTGATTTGCGAAGAAGGTAAGTGGTATGTCCTGAAATTCGAAGAAGAAAAAGTTAAGCACAACTAAACATTATTAGGGAAACCAGGAAGCAGTGAGAGTGTGTCTCTACCACGCCATTGTGGAAACCAGGAAGCAGGGGCATTACAAAATGAGGTTCATGCGGAGCTAACCGAAGAGCCATCTACAAACAATAAACAATATTCAAAGTCAAAATCATATAGCTAAGTTATTAACTATTGCTATGACTAACCACAAATCTGTAGAGCCTATAAAATTCAAGCAACATTATTCAAGCTACATATTAAATGAACTAACCATAGAATTCAAGCTTCAGGCAAACGTAAATACTCTGATGTTAATATCAAATTCTCAGATGATTTTTTAAAAACCAAGACTGTTCTTAACGTGGTTTGAGTTTAACAAAGATCTTATTACAAAAGATAACGATTTATATTGATCACTTATCACAAAAGATTACGAGTTCCACTTTAAGATCAGTTAACCAAAAACTTATCACAACAGATTTCGATTTATATTGATCACTTAACATAAGAAACACAAATCACATTACGAGTTCCAGTCTAAGATCAGATAACGAAAAACTTATGACAAAAGATTACGATTTATAGTGATCAAATTGCACACAAATTAACACAATTTTGAAATCTGTAACAGTTGAAATCATAAACACACACATGAAAGAGGATTTAGAGATTTTGAAATATCATACAATCGAAATCATAAACACACACACGAAAGAGGATTTAGGGATTTTGAAATCCCTAACTTTCGAAATCATAAACACACACAGGAAAGAGGATTTAGGGATTTTGAAATCCATAACTTTCGAAATCATAAACACCCACAGGAGAGAGGATTTAGGGATTTTGAAATCCCTAAGTTAAGTTTCGAAATCATAAATCCCTAATTTTCAATATCATAAACACACACATACACCGAACATATCATCCAAAACCCATTTCAGATAATCACATCAAACAAACAACTAAACGGATGAGATTCTACGAGACATTAAAATAATTTTGGAAAATCAAGGAACACATACCCGAAGGATTGAGTCGGAGAGGGAGAAGCCGGAGAAGGATTGAGTCGGAGAGGGAGAAGCCGGAGAAGGATTACGCCGTCACCGTCTCGATGAAAACACGGAGAGGTCTTTTCATCGTCGCCGTTCGAAGATTCTCCAAGGATTGAGAGAAGACAGAAAGCATTAATTGTATCGACTCCCTTTCATCGAGAACCGTCCGATGAAAAAATCGATCTACGGTCCAGATCGTGTGACGTCGCCTGGGGACAAACCCAACTGTCCCTTAATTAAGGTCCGTTTCATCCGTCTCTTTCTATTTCTCATTTATTTTTCGACCCAATTAACTAAGAAATGGGCTTAAAAGACGCCCGATAATGGTGCTCTTAGAAAAGAGAAAGCCAGACGCTCAAAACAGAGACTGGTGAGGTAGAGACTGCGGAGGTGGCTCTAGCTGATCGAGAGAGGGGGTCAAGTCTGAGTCTTATAGTCTCTTTGATTTCAGAGATAAGAGACTCGGGAGTACGCACTTGTGTCAGAGTGTATTTATTTTTATGGTATATAGTTTAATTATTTTATTTCTATATCCAAGTTAGAAAAATATAAATAATTAAATAGTCAAAACTTAAGAGATTTTATAAATTCTTAAGGATACATTTAATTTTTTTTTATCATAAATATACTTTAAAAATAATAATGACCAAAACAGATTTAAATGTTTTATCAAAATAAGTAAATATATACTTATATTTTTAGTGTTAATTAATCTAGTTATTAGAGTTTAGAGTCAAGAGGTGAGGTTTAGGGTTTAAGGTTAATGATTTAAGATTTAGAATTTAGGGTTTGGGGTTTAGAGGTGTAGAGTTGGATTTTAGAGATAGGATTTCAAATTTAAAAAAAATTAAAATTTTCAAAAAAATGCTATTTCGGTCATTTTATTTTTTGAACTCTATTTTTATGACAAAAAAATTTGAAAAGTTATTGAGAAAATTTCCCTCAAAATTTTGTTGTAGTTTTATCAATAATAAGTTTTTTTGTATTTTATTGTTTAGTTAATGTAAGAAACTAAATATAGTATAAGTTAAAAAAAATATTATATAACACAAATATATAAAGAACCTATATAATTTTGAACCAAATTGTTGTATGTATATTAGAAAAATTCATATGGAGTGGTATAAATGTTATTTTGGTACATACAAGTTTTTGTTTAAGCCCCAAATCTCTATTGAATATCTCTACACAATAATACAAATATTCAAATGAACTCACATTGACATCTCTTAAAAGTAATAGATTCTGAGGGGCTCAGTTGAAAGTTAAAGTCCAGCCCGTTATGAATTTGGGTCAAAACAACCAGCCTGATTCTCCATTTAGATCAGTGATAATGAATGAGCAAGAAAACCTTGTCACGCTCGTTTAGTACATCAATTGACAACAGTGTCCTTAAGGCCATATATTTGTCGTTCATTTTCCAAAGGAAACACAAAGATGGTTTAATCCTAGTAATTCACAAAACTGAACGAGTTTGAGTGATGTAATTAAGTATATACAGCATAATTAATTAATCTTGAGATGGATTTGATCTTGGAATACTTACTCAGAGATGGAGTTTCTGATTATTAGTCCAACAACAGGTTCTTGTGATCAACCAGGAAGATGGCTAGAACTAGAAAAAACGTTATGATAAAACGTTAAACAAAACTTATGGTTAGGTGATACGTAGAACTTGAAAGGCTGATGACACCTGGTGATTAGTTTTGTAGTGATGTCACATATAGACGTCACGAAGTAGTTGATCCTTTGTAGCTTTGTGAAAATAAGATTAAACAAAACTTATGGTTTTTATTTTTTTGAAAAAAAGGCTTAACAAAACTTATGGTTACTAAGCCCTTTGTCAAAAAAAAAAAACTTATGGTTACGTGCTGCTTAGAGCTTTGAATTGTATAAGGATAATGACAATTCCACTGATGGCCATTTTTGTACTGGTTTCACGTAAAATGGACGTAAGCACGATGACGTATAGGCTGGTGATATGTACTATTTACTTTTGGACGATCTAACTAGTTGTTGTTAGATTGATGATTAGATTAGTCAAAATAGTACAAACTCGTGGGGTTTATTTTATCACAGAACTAAATGTTTAAATGATTTTGAGTTGATGTTAATTTCCTTTTTGAAATGATTTCAACTCAAAATAGTAGTTAAATACAATGGTTGAGAAAGAGGACCACCTTTTGATTATATTTTTTCAAATTTATCCGCTATAGTTTTATGTGGTTGTAAATGGACTTTGAACATACATAAAACAAGGTCAAAGGACTCTTTAGACTATTGTATTTCATTTCTTCTGTACAACCTTTAATGAATGAACAACCATTTTTACTGATTTGACATATAAAAACCAGTAATAAAGTTTAATAAACTAATAATACCTGAATGAATGAATAATCAGATAGAGAGGAGATTGAAAATAGAGTTTGTTATTTAGTTGGTGGCTATAGTAATTGTACGTCCCTTTTGTTTTTTGACATATGAGTTTGTAAGTAACTGTAAAGACAAAATATGAAATGGCCACTAGGCTTACAGATCATGTCTACACCTCATCCCAAAAAGTTTTGTCTCTTGTCTAATATTCAAAAGGCATAAATGCACATGCATATCTTTTAAATACACCTACACCTTGACGTTAAAGTATATCTACCCATCTATCTTATATTTATTAGAGTCAGAAACAGAGATAGAGAGAGTAAGTGGGTAAACATGGATGCTTGTTTTCTTACCTCAAGAACAATCTCTGGTGTTAAAGAGATTGTTCCGTTCACCAAAACCAGAATCTTTTCTTGCCCCAAGAGAAACTCTTGCCAGTTTCTCACCAGGAAGGTTGCTGCTCCGATCTCTATAAAATGTAAGATCATTTACATCTATGGGAGTTTTATATCAAAGATTGTAGTTGTTGAAAGCCTTATGAGTGTATTTTTATTTGAGTAGGTTCTCTCTCGGATTCATGGAAGCCACTGGAGGATGATACTGATCTATTAAAGGATTGTGTCAACAACTCTACAGCAGATGCTGACTGGAAAGTGTTCAGGGCAAGGCTTGTAGCTGGGGAACAAGCTGCAACCTCTGAGAAAGACTCCTCCTCTTGTTCTAACTTAAACACACTTGGAAACAAATGGGCACACAAGATCACCGAGCCAGAGACAGGATGTCTCCTTGTTGCAACAGAGAAGCTAGATGGAGTCCATATTTTCGAAAAGACGGTGGTTCTCATCCTCTCTGTTGGACCCTCAGGTCCTATAGGAGTCATCCTGAACCGTCCATCGCTTATGTCAATCAAGGAGACCAAGTCAAACGTGGCGGGAACGTTTTCAGACAAGAGACTCTTCTTTGGTGGACCATTGGAAGAAGGGTTGTTCCTGGTGAATCCAAGGGACGGAGGAGACAACGAGGTTGAGAAGAGTGGAGTGTTCAGACAAGTGATGAAAGGACTGTACTATGGAACGAGAGAGAGTGTAGGGTTGGCTGAAGAGATGGTGAAGAGGAAGTTGGTGGGAAGAAGTGAGCTAAGATATTTTTATGGGTGTTGTGGTTGGGAAAAAGAGCAGTTGAAAGCAGATATTTTGAGAGGGCATTGGACAGTAGCTGCTTGTAGCTCAAGTGTTGTTGAGCTTGGTTCAGGTGACCAAAGTCATGTTCTCTGGGATGAGGTTCTTGGTCTTATTGGTCCTCAAATTAGATCTGTTATCTAAACTTTTGTTTTATGTAGCATAAGTTACTTCTGAACAACTTAATATAGAGAATGGATTAACCAACCAATTTTCCAAAAAATCCATTTAAGCATCGTCTAGTTATAAGCAAAACGATTTTTTCTTATGACTATGAGTATGTTTCTACTTTCTCCTTTAGTTGTCTGTATAGTCTGTCTTGGTTAAAACATGTTCCAACAAGAAACATAAGTTGACAAAAAAGAAAAGAAGAAGGTGTTTATGTTGCATAGGATGAGTTACTTCTGAACAATTTAAAAGGTTTACAAAACATAATCAATGTTCCAAAAAATCGGGTTAGGTGGCGTTCAAAGGGCAAATTGGTTATAATCAAAACATTTTGTTCAAAATATGTTCAAATAGCGTTGAGTTGACAATATTACATAAGTTACTTTTTCTTGGAACACTAGCATGAGTTACTTATGAACAACATATTAAGAATTTAAGAGTTACTTTTGAACAACTTAATTGTCTCTGAATACAATTAAGTCTACTTGTTGTTACTAATGCATGTTTCTCACTCTATAAATTCTAACCTTGTTATCTTGTCATTCCAAACCATCCAAGAGTCTTAAAGGGACAAAGAAGAAAAATACAACTAATTTAAGAGATGGAACAAATATCAAGAGCATTAGTCTTGTTAGCTACAGTGTTATGTGTTGCGGTTTTGGTCACTCCAGGAGTAGCTCACGATCAACCAAAACCTCCACTTACTTTTCCTATCGACTTAAAGAAATGTTGGTCATCTCTCTTTAACGTCAATGGATGTGTTTTCCAACTCTTTGAGTCTGTTTTCTCTGGCAAGTTTGGAAACGTTGGAATTGCGTGTTGCAAGGCTTTTTCGACCATTGATGCTAACTGTTGGCCTCATATGTTCCCGTTGAACCCATTCTTCCCACCTCTTCTTAAGGACAATTGTGCTCACATTGTTCCAAATTTACAGAAACACTAATGAAAACCATTTGTTGTAGCCTAGAAAATGATAGTCATGTTTCAATAGTCTACTAATGTCATATTTCATATCTAATAAAATGAGTTTCTTACCAAGTTGATTGACATTTTGCTTTATGGCCTAAGCAATAGCCTTAATGAAAAACACAATCTTACCTAATTTTTTTCTTATTTTTTACAAAGAAAATTATAATTTTTATTTATGACATATAAGTCTTTTTGATTTTTGGGCTTAAAACTATATCTAACAATTAATTTAATTCATTGAATCTATTAACCATTAAGAAAGCTCAATCCAACAATCATAAATTTAATAGACCAAAACCTATGTTATGCTTTGAACAAAAGAAATAAATTATCCACATTAAAAATTTAATATATTAATTATATTTAAAATTATTAAATACTGATATTAAATCGTAATTATGTAACTCTAGACAATGGTAGTGCTAATGGTAGTTAGTATACAATACACTAACCCCTCTAATTAAAGGCTTTTTGTTCTAACTTGTATCCCAAGCTTATGGTATTTTTATATACTTCTTCTGTTTCATTAAGATACATGTTTTATAAACATGTTCCAACACAAAACATAAGTTACAAAAAGAAGAAGAAGAAGGTGTTTATGTTGTATAACATGAGTTATTTCTGAACATTTTAAAAGATTTACAAACCATAATCAATGTTCCAAAAATTGGGTTAGGTGGCGTTCAAAACGGAAAATTGGTTATAATCAAAACATTTTCTTTAAAACTAGGATTAGCGCGGGATGAAGTTGTTATTTTTATTATGTTTTAGAAAATAAAAAAATTGTTCGTTTTCATTTGGACTAGGGGTGTTCAATCCGGATATCGGATTTTAGTACGGTTTGATTTTTGATATTTCGGTTATTAAAATATAACTATTATTCTAAATCCATATTTACTTCGGTTCGATTTGGTTTATATACCATCGGTTTTCAGTTTATTCAGTTTTATACCAAAAAAACATAATTATTTAGTTTGAGATCATATTATATATTATACAAATATATAATATAATCATATTTAGAGTCATATTGTCAAAAAGTCATTTAATAAAAAAATATTATATATTTAAATAAAAGAATAAAAACAAAAAGGCTTCTATCATCTAATAAAATGATCAAATCTAGAATTAATATCAAAGCTCTAAATTTTGAAAATAAAAATAAAAATAAAAACAGAAGCATGAAAGAAAGCTTTTTATATTCTTCCATATTTAGTGTTCATCAAATTAATATGTGTTCGATTGAACACAACTCTGTTTGTTTAAAAAACAAAGTTGTAAAGAATTTCAACTAATTGTTGTCCATCAAATTTATAATATTTACTTCAATTTAGTTACTGTTAAAATAAAACAAAAATATTAAAAACGACTAAGAGAATAAGAAGCCTCAGTTGCAGTAAATTGCTAGTTAATTACAGTTCAAGTGATTCAAATGATTTAAAAACTATAATTATAGTTCAACTCATGTAACAAATATATATATATTCATGCGTCGTTATAAATATATACATATTTAAATGTTTCAGTTTAATCAGTTATAAATCAAACCATATCCAAATCCTACGGTTTTTATAAAATCACATCCATTCGGTTTGTATGGTATATACAAAAAAACATATTATCGATTGGTTAATATCTTTTAATAATATAAAATTAAAAAAGAACTAAGATATTTAAATAATTGATAACAAAAAATTTCAATGTAAAAAATTTAATAAGTTTATAATTTAAAAATGTTCTTGAAAATTCATTGAAATATTTGAAATTAAAATATTTATGTAATCTTATATGGTATATAGTTTAATATATATATATATATTTGTATTATTATTGAATGATACTTTTTACTCATATGGTTTAAAATCATGTGTATCTTCTTATAATAAAAATGTTAAACTATTGATCATTAATTTTTAACATCACAATTTTAATAATTTTAGTCATTTATTCTCGTTTTTAATTCATAGCATAACATATACGAAAAAATCTAAAGTTTAATTTTATACCTAATTTGATTGCTAAATTTATTTTAATAATAATAAATTAAAGAAAAATGATGGAGGAGATATAAATCGTTATCAAATGTTTATTATTTGAATCATTAATTTTCATATATATATATATATATATATATATATTAGTCATTTATAGTAGCTCTGTAGGTTTTATTTAAAGAAAGAAAATAAAATATTAATTATATCTAGAAGGACAATCATAAATGCTTCTATCGTAAACATCATATCATATCATCATATCATATAGTTTGACCAACGAATGTATCTAACGACATATAAAAATTGAATGTGAACCTACTTATTTTTCAATTGAATGTAATTGAATACCTAATGACATGAGGTCTTTTTTACTTATTACAAAATCGAAGTTACAATTTTCCAAATGTTTCTCTTTTAATATATAGGGAATATGTCGAAATAGCATTGAAAATATTACATAGCATGAGTTACTTTTTCTTGGAACACTAGCATGAGTTACTTTTTCTTGGAACACTAGCATGAGTTACTTCTGAACAACTTGATAGATAATGGATTTACATATTAAGAATTTAAGAGTTACTTTTGAACAACTTAATTGTCTCTGAATACAATTAAGTCTACTTGTTGTTACTAATGTCTCTCACTCTATAAATTCAAACCTTATTAATCATGTCATATCCAAACCATCCAAGAGTCTTAAAGAGAAAAAGAAGAAATATACAACTAATTTAAGAGATGGAACAAATATCAAGAGCATTATTAGTCTTGTTAGCTGCAGTTTTATGTGTCGCAGTTTTGGTCACTCCAGGAGCAGCTCACGATCAACCAAAACCTCCACTTACTTTTCCTATTGACTTAGAGAAATGTTGGTCATCTCTCTTTAACGTAAATGGATGTGTACTTCAACTCTTTGAGTCTGTTTTCTCTGGTAAGTTTGGAAACGTTGGATTCGCGTGTTGCAAGGCGTTTTCGACCATTGATGCTAACTGTTGGCCTCATATGTTCCCATTGAACCCGTTCTTCCCACCTCTTCTTAAGGACAACTGCGCCCACATTGTTCCAAATTTACAGAAACACTAATGAAACCATTCGTTGTAGCCTAGAAAATGATAGTCATGTTTCAACAGTCTACTAATGTCATATTTTATATCTAATAAAATGAGTTTCTTACCAAGTTGATTCGCATTTCGATTTATCTCCTAATCAATACTATTAAAATATGATCATTCATGTGTTTTATGGCCTTAATGAAAAACATACCTAAATTTTTCTTATTTTTACAAAGAAAATTGTAATTTTTGTTAGTGACATTTAAGTCTTTTGATTTGTGGGCTTAAAATATACTCTATCCTTTTTATTTATTTGTCATTTAAATTTGTGCACAGAGATTAAGAAATCATTAATTTTACATATTTTCAAAAGAAAAATACAATTATCTATATACCTAACCGTATTTTAACCAATAGAAAAGTAGATAAAACTGATAAATTATGTATTGTAATCATAAAACGATACTTATTTTGAAACAATTTTTTTTTATCTAAAATAACAAATAAAATAGAACGAAGGGAGTATCTAACAGTTAATTTAATTCACTGCACGATCCATTATCTGTTAAGAAAGCTCACCCCAAAAATCATAAATTTAATTTCTTAATAAACCAAAATCCATTTTATGCTTTTGAACAAAAGAAATAAATTATCTACATTAAAACTTTAATAATACTAATTATATTTTAAATATAAAATATTGATACAAAATTTTAATATATATATATATATATATATATATGTATATATATATAAGTTCATTCCAAACTGTTTTTCTATAGACAAACAAATGATTAATTTATGCAGAAATTATATTTAACATTCTATACTTAACTCAACTATACTCAGTTTAATAATAATTTTAATTCCAAACTCACAGAATGACCTGCAAAGAATTTTCTTACTTTACTTATATCTTAAAGAATTTTATTTATTTTCAATTTTTTTTTGGAAATCTTAGTATTTTAAAGATTAAATTCAATCGTTATTTGATATATTTTATTGATATTTTAAATTCTTCACGAAGTTTTTAATTTTATCATGTAGTTTAAAAATTTAAAAATTTATTGATAGCATTTACTCTTTAAAAGTTATATATTTTCAAAAATATATTTAATAAAAGAGAATCTAATATTTAGATTTATGATTTAATAATTATAGTCATGGTTTTGAAAATGGGACCAGACTGATCGGTTGAACCGGTCTACCGTGACTCGTTAGTACAGTCTGGTTTAAAAATCAGATCTGGAAAAACTGGTAAAATCTCTGTAAAATCGATGACCCGAGTCAACTTTAAAATTCGATTCTAAAAACATAAAATTAATTTATTTTCAATTTTTATTAAAATATAATATTTTATAATCAATATTTGTCTGTTACTATTTAATTGATATTTTCTAGTTAATCATATTTTTAAGAAAGAACTAGATTTTGACACGCACAACCGTGCAGGTGTTTGTTTTCATTTATAATTAGTTATATAAACATTTTGTTTTCACTTGTAAATTGGTATTATTATAGTAATCACATATTTACGATATGTATAGTAAATGTTTTTCAAACATAATTATATTATATAATACGTGTTATAATCAAATAGATTGTTTAAAATCTTTTATTTTTCAAACATGTGTTATTTCTTCTTCTATATTTTATTGTTTGTTAGATTGCTATTTCATTTTTAGATAAAGTAATATAAGTAGAGCTTAATTAAATATTAGTATACTTTAATTTGCAAAGATAATATAAATTTCGAAGAAATTTTTACTAAAAACTAAACTTATAACTTCATAAATTAATATTATAAAGAATTTTATTAAAAAATAATTTTTTAAACAATTTCATTTTTAAAACAATATAATTTTAAAAATTTACATCAAAATAAATTTATCTAGTATATATAGCGTGTAAATTTTGTTAGGGTATATAAATATTCCATATTACGAATATGTTATTTTTGTTAATATATTGTGGATGCATTTAATTATTATTGACATATTTCATTATAAATAATAGAAGATTCTTAAACTTATATCTATTGACATATTTTGCGTGACTAAGTTGGAAGGTGTGGGGTAATTTACCAAAATCAAATTGTTAAGCATATCTTTGTTATTATAGATATGGTTTTTTCATAAAATATAATACTGATAAGATTATTAGAGAGTCAATGTAACATAAATTTTAAGTAATAGTCCATTTTTTAAAAAATCACACATGAAGTCAAGTCATGACTTCTGTTTTAATATATAAGATGTAAATATATATATATTTTAGTTTTATATATTATTTTTATTTTGATATATAGTAGAATTTAGTTGTAATAAATAAATACTGTAATTTGAAAATTTAATTTTTAATTTTTATCAATTTTAATTTTACAAGTAATCACTTGTTTACAATATATCTAGTTAGATTTATGCTTTTTTTTTTTTATTTTTTAGTGAAGAAAGAGAAAAGTGAATATATTATATATAGAAATACTTTTAAGTCTATATAATGAGGGTGATTGGTTGTTGCTTTAGTTGATGTCCACATCACTTTTTAAATCTACAGCATGAATCATAAAACAATCAAACTTTACTAAGAAAATTTTGTCCACAGCAATTGAGTTAAAAAAACGTGGAGACAAGTGCTTTACAAAACCATATATTCACAGCCCACTTTTATGTGCTTCCCAAAAGAGAAAAAAAAATTTTAGTTAACTTTTATTTTTAAAATAAGATAAATAATAAAAATAAGATAAATAATAAAAACCTAGCTGTAAACATATATATGTTGTATTGCGACCAAAAGAAAAAGTAATGTAGTCATATATTATATTTTTATTTTATTGATTTATAGTTTGATTGATAAACTAGTTTCTTGTCATTAATTTGAATATTATGAATTAGTTTAAGTTGTATATTAGATTGTTTGTCGCAGTAATCAGAGTTCTATTAATTTAAGATGAACTATTCTTTTATGTTGTATTAATTTGAGTATGAACTGATGAGTAAAATATATTACTAATTTTACTATGTAAAAGTATATTTTATTTAAAAAATGCTTATCTGCTTTATGAAATTTTAATAATTTTATTTGTTATTTATTCAAAAAAGCTATAAGTTTATTTTGTATTTTAATATATTGTTTAATATATATATATAATATTTTTCGTTGATTTATACCAATCATGCTTTATAAAAAAATCTTATTGTCGGATTCTACAACTATAAAATCTACAGCTACAACAAAAGTTTACAGCTTTAATTCTACAACAAAAAATTTAAAGCTACAGTTTTTACTAATAGCCCCCAATGTAAATATATGATTATATATATATATATATTCAACTTTAAAGAAAAAAGATAGAAAATTCAGTTTGACCGATTGAACCGGTTCAATCAGTCAGTCGATAGCTATCTTGAGTCAGTGTCCCGTCCGATTTTCAAAATGTTGTGTTTAGTATAAAAAACCATCGTTTGTTTATTTTATTTAACTTTCCAAAAAAATGTTACTTTGATTATTTCTAAGAGTTATTGCACTCTATAACTAAGAATAAGATTTTTATTAGGTGATTGACTACAACCTTCTCTTAATTAAGTGGGTATCGGGTCGTACCTGGAATGACGAAACTCTCCTCTATTGCCTCCCTCGTAGGCTATGTTTTGCACAAAAACATAACTCTAGATGGGCCATTGCATGTCTCCTATATTCTCAGCAAACCTTCCAGAAAACAATGGCTTCTCAGCGATTTCCAACATTTTTCCAAATGAGGAATTCAGGATGATGTTCTTCTCCTCCTCGTCGAGACTATTAACTATGCACTTCAGAGCCCTAGAAGACTGGTAGGTTAGTACTCGAACGCCGATTGGTTCTTCACCGGCGGCAAACATCATCTCCGGGAGCATGTCTTCGTTAATCGGCGCCTCTCTGTTCTCTTCATTATAAACTGATTCCGATCTCATACTGAACAATTGTTTCGGGTGAAGAAGGCACTTTTTTCCAGATCTGGAAATTTAAGTGAGAGAATTGGAAACAAAATGCTTAGTAAATGAAATAGATTCAAATTTTCAATTATGTAGACTTCGTCTAGACTGTAAACCTATAACCTAGTCCACTATCTATTCTGACACAGGAAGACGAAATCTGTTTCCCTACGTAGGGGTAATGCAGTCAAATAACCACTCACGTTCTTTGCAGTTCCTATACGTTACTACATACCTAAATATCTTTCTATCTATGTATATTGAGCTAATTAGCTCTATTTCTAAAGAGAATCTCGATTTCACCACAAATATATGGCTCATATGGCTAAGACCACGTGGTAGTTTTATTTTTAAATGTTAGGTTAGGTGAGACTGAATCATTTTACATATACATTCCTCACTCACGTTGTTGCCAAATAAATAAATAAAATGGCAGCTGTTGTAGTCATCTCTGACACCATTGTTCGACCAGAGACCTCCGAGGATGGATCTGAACGGGTTAAGACGATCCATCTCACTCCATGGGATCTCTTCTTTCTTCGAACTGAATACTCTCAAAGAGCTCTTATCTTTCCCAAACCCGACCAAGAAACCCACATCATCTCTCAACTGAAGTCTTCTCTTTCCGTAGCGTTGAAGATTTTCTACCCATTCGCTGGACGTCTAGTCAAGAACCACAACCAAGACGACGAAACGGCGTCGTTTTTCGTAGATTGCGATGGTGGTTCAGGTGTCAAATTCGTGCATGCAGCTGCTAAAACTGTCTCGGTGAGTGATGTTTTAGAGCCAGGCTATGAATACTGGAGTGAGTTTTTTCCAAGTAACGGAGTTGAAAGCTGGCAAGGGGTCTCGGAGCCGTTACTTGCGTTCCAAGTAACGGAGTTAAAAGATGGAGTTTTCATCGGATATGGCGTTAACCATTTGGTTGCTGACGGTGCTTCCTTCTGGAGTTTCTTCAAAACATGGACGGAGATTTGTTCTACCGGTTTTGACCGGAAAACAATGCCTCCTTTGTCTCTCCGTCCGTGGTTTCTCGACGGGGTTGATTACCCGATTCAACTTCCGATCTCGTTGACAGCTTCATCACCTGTTGGGGGTGTTGTTTCTTCTCTACAAAAGAAGATATTTCGCTTCACGAGTAGAGACATCTCTGAGCTTAAAGCTCAAGCCAACGGAGAGGTTTTTTGTTCCGATGAGGATCGAAAAATCTCTTCGTTTCAAGCCGTGTTGGCGCATATGTGGCGGTCAATAATCAGAAACAGTGGTCTCAATCCGGAAGAGGTGATTCATTGCAAGTTGGCGATGGATATGAGACAGAGAGTAAACCCTCCGATGGATAAAGAATGTTTTGGGAACATGGTTGGACTAGTGACGGCCACCACAACGGCCGGGGAAATGCTTAACAATGAACTCGGTTGGGCTGCTTTGCAACTTAACAAAACTGTGAGGTCACAAACGAATGAAGAATTCAAACGGGTTTGTGAGAATTGGGTTAAAAACCCGGAAATACCTAATGGTTTGGTGGTGAATAATTCGCTAGTTGTTGCTAGCTCTCCACGGTTTAATGTGTTCGGACACGATTTTGGTTGGGGTAAACCGATTGCGGTTCGAGCTGGACCGGGTATTGCTGGCCATGGTAAAATCCTTGTTTACCCGGGAACTGAACAAGGAAGCATGGAGATTCATACGTCTTTATGGTCTCACGTTTTGGAGAAATTACTGGCTGATGAAGAGTTTTTACAGCATGTCGTTTGTATGTGTTAATCGAAATCAACTCTAAATGTTATGTTCTTCTACGTTTCTACACAGTCTGTGTGTAAAGGAAATAAGAAAAAAATCATATTCCGTGTGATAATTATATTTCTGTTCAAATTTGTAGCTCAAGTTTATGATATTAATTATTAGTGGAAAATATATATATTTAAAAGAAACCTAGACAACGAACCTCTGCAACATCACCATCAACAAATCAGATACCATCTACCATTTTAAATATTTGGTGAAAACAACACCATATTAAACTCTAGACAACGATATTTTTAATGGTAGTTAGTATACACTAACCCCTCTAAAGGTTTTTTGTTTTAACTTGTATCCCAACTCCCAAGCTTATGATATTATTACATACTTCGTCTGTTTCATTAAGATACATGTTTTAATATATCTTCCAACGCAAAACATAAGTTACAAAAGAAGAAGAAGGTGTTTATGTTGCATAGCATGAGTTACTTCTGAACAATTTAAAAGATTTACAAACATAGTCAATGCTCCAAAAATTGAGTTAGGTGGCGTTCAAACGGAAATTTGATTATAATCAAAACATTTTCCTAAATATATGTTGCAATAGCGTTGACAATATTACATAGCATGAGTTACTTTTTCTTGAAACACTAGCATGAGTTACTTCTGAACAACCTGATAGATAATGGATTTACATATTAAGAATTTAAGAGTTACTTTTGAACAACTTAATTGTCTCTGAATACAATTAAGTCTACTTGTTGTTACTAATGCATGTTTCTCACTCTATAAATTCTAACCTTGTTATCATGTGATTCCAAACAATCCAAGAGTCTTAAAGAGAAAAGAAGAAATATAATTTAAGAGATGGAACAAACATCAAGAGCATTAGTCTTGTTAGCTGCAGTTTTATGTGTTGCGCTTTTGGTCACTCCAGGAGCAGCTCACGATCAACCAAAACCTCCACTTACTTTTCCTGTCGACTTAGAGAAATGTTGGTCATCACTCTTTAACGTCAATGGATGTGTACTCCAACTCTTTGAGTCTGTTTTCTCTGGCAAGTTTGGAAACGTTGGAATCGCATGTTGCAAGGCGTTTTCGACCATTGATGCTAACTGTTGGCCTCATATGTTCCCGTTGAACCCTTTCTTCCCACCTCTTCTTAAGGACAATTGTGCTCACATTGTTCCAAATTTACAGAAACACTAATGAAAACCATTTGTTGTAGCCTAGAAAATGATAGTCATGTTTCAATAGTCTACTAATGTCATATTTCATATCTAATCAAATGAGTTTCTTACCAAATTGATTGGCATTTCACTTTATCTCCTAAAACTTATTACCTAAAGTGTTCTTATTTTTACAAAGAAAATTATAATTTTTATAAATGACATTCAAATCTTTTGATTTTTGGATTTAAAACTATATCTTACAATTAATTTAATTCATTGCATATATTACTCGTTAAGAAAGCTTACTCCAATCATAAATTTAATTTTCTTAATAGACCAAAGCCCATTTTATGCTTTTGAACAAAAGAAATAAAGTATCGACACAACAATTTTAATATTTTAGTTATATTTATAGATATAAAATATTGATATTATGTATGAGTTGAATCCGAACTATTTTTTCCATAGACAAACAAGTTATTGTTGACAAACAAACTATTCCAGACAAGAGACTCTTCTTTGGTGGACCCTTGGAAGAAGGGTTTTTTCTGGTGAGTCCAAGGAATGAAGAAGACAACGAGGTGGAGAAGAGCAGAGTGTTCAGAAAAGTGAGGAAAGGATCGTACCGGTGGCGGATATAAGGTTGGGGGCACAGTACCAAAAACAAAACAAAAACATTATTAACATGGGGCACTCTTTTGTTTATTCACTAAACGAAGAACAAATTAATCAAATTAGTTTAGTTGTTTAGGAAAAATGAAAAAGAGTAGGGGGCACGTGCCCCGTAACCGTAAGGTTGGCTGCAGAGATGGTGAAGAGGAATTTGGTGGGAAGAAGTGAGGTAAGATTCTTTGATGGGTATTGTGGTTGGGAAAAAGAGCAGTTGAAAGCAGAAATTTTGAGAGGGTATTGGCAGGCCTGGTCCGGAGAAAATATGGGCCGGAAGCAAAAATAAAAAATTTGCCTATTAATTAAAAATATGGAACTACTACACCTTAAACCGGACATACCTCACACAACAAATCTAGCTTTAAACCACACTACCGAAGATACTGACAATCTGAAGGCCGGAAAGTTTAATAATCTAATCAGGGCCCGAAGCACGTGCTTGTATTGTTTGTACTGTGGCTGCTTGAAGCTCAAGTGTTGTTGAGATTGGTTCTGTTGTTCAGAGTCATGGTCTTTGGGATGAGGTTGTTAGGCTTATTGGCCCTCAAACTGACTCTTGTTTTCTGTAATAGTTTTTTACTAATGGTTTGTATTAGTGAGTCATGACTACGTAGTGTATGTTTTATCAATGTATGCATTCAGGATTCATCACTAATTTATGAGTATGAGTATGTTTCTACTTTCTTTTTTTAGTCGTCTATATACTCTATGTTGGTTAAAAACATATTACAACCCAAAACATAGCCGTTGACAAAAAAAGAAGGTGTTTGTGTTACATGGCATGAAACATCTGTTTAGATATCGCCTAATCAATAAATCGGTTATGAAGTAACAAATTTTTGAAACATGTTCCAACCCAAAAACGTAGCCGTTGACAATGTTACAGAACATGAGTTACTTCTGAACAACTTAATTGTCTCTGAATACAATTAAGTCTACTTGTTGTTACTAATGCATGTTTCTCACTCTATAAATTCTAACCTTGTTATCATGTGATTCCAAACCATCCAAGAGTCTTAAAGAGAAAAAGAAGAAATATAATTTAAGAGATGGAACAAACATCAAGAGCATTAGTCTTGTTAGCTGCAGTTTTATGTGTTGCGGTTTTGGTCACTCCAGGAGCAGCTCACGATCAACCAAAACCTCCACTTACTTTTCCTATCAACTTAGAGAAATGTTGGTCATATCTTTTTAACGTCAATGGATGTGTACTCCAACTCTTTGAGTCTGTTTTCTCTGGCAAGTTTGGAAACGTTGGAATCGAGTGTTGCAAGGCGTTTTCGACCATTGATGCAAACTGTTGGCCTCATATGTTCCCGTTGAACCCATTATTCCCACCTCTTCTTAAGGACAATTGCGCTCACATTGTTCGAAATTTACAGAAACACTAATGCAAAACCATTTGTTGTAGCCTAGAAAAGGATAGTCATGTTTCAATAGTCTACTGATATCATATTTCATATCTAATAAATTGAGTATCTTACCAAGTTGATTGGCATTTTGCTTTATGTCCTAATCAATATTATTAGATATGATCATTCATGTTTTATGGCCTTAGTGAAAAACACAATCTTACCTAAATTTTTCTTTTTTTAAAAAAATTAAAGAAAATTATATCTTTTATTAATGACATTTAAGTCTTTTGATTTTTGGGCTTAAACTATATCTAACAATTAATTTAATTCATAGTATCCCTTACCCTTTAAAAGAGTCCACTCCAACAATCATAATTTAGTTTTTTAGGGTCTGATTGGTTTTACTACTATCACCCACAAACCTAATTTTTGTGGTTGATAGCGGTTATCAGCGTTTTACAGATCATCTTAAATAAATCGCTTTGAATCTCGTAAAATCAGAAGCAGAATCCAGCTATTCTTTGCAGCTGTAGGCTATTGTGGTTGGGTAAATAAATATAAAACTATATTAAAAAACATTTTAAAATTTGTAATATTATAAATATATATATATATATATATATATATATATATATATATATATATATATATATATACATTTTCTGTTTTAATCCAAATTCACTTCAAATATCATAATTTATATTGTCAAAAATTTAAACCAAGAATATTCACTATAAAGTTTTAATACCTTAGTATATAAACACACACACACACACACACATATATATACATTCATACAAAAAGAAAATAATTTTTAAAAAATTATAATATAAATATTCAAAACAAATGCTATTGAAATTATAATTTTCCTTTAAATTTTAAATAAAGAAATAAATGTAATATCTCTATAATGTTATTTGAGAAGTCAGTTTCCTACGTGTCGCGCTCACGTTAATTCTCGCAATGGTTGATTACATAGATACCCTTAATGAATTGTTATATTTTAAGATTTTTTTTTAATTTAGTTTCTTTTTTTACGTTTTTCCAAATGATATATATAATAAAAAGGAAATATTTCAAAAATTTTAAAAAACAATTTAAAAACGAAAATATATGTATATAATATGACTTTATTAATAAGGAAAGTTCACAAAAGAGTAATACCCCCAATAATACATATTTTTAAATAACATAAAATATATTTTCCAAATAATAAAAATATATATGTTCATAAACATCCAAAACTTTATCAGTTACACTTTATTTTGTAATATGTTTTAAAAATCAACATATAATTTGATAAATATTATGAAAATACATGTATTTAAGTGATAAATAAAACTAATTTGATTTGACTTAACTAAAATAAAGAGTAAATAAATATTATGAAAATATATGTATATTTAAGCGATAAATAAAACTAATACGATTTGACTTAACTAAAATGAAAAGTAATTATACTTCAATTTTAATTTAAAAATATATTTAACTCAATATACTCACAAAATGAATGACTCGACTAATCTAATTTATATCAAAAATTAAAAATCTAGCTACAATAAGAACATATAATTTTATAATAATAAAATAATAATAATAAAAATATATTTAATTTTATACATATAAATTAGAAGTTGTCTCAAAGCATATTAAAAAGAAAAAGAAAATATTAACCAATTACAATTTAATTATTTTTGTAGAATTTGTATATATATATGCATGAGACTTCAAAATATTATCATTGTATTCATTTATGTAATTTTGAATCAAACATTTCAGCTTATTATTTATTTTATTTTAAGCACAATATATATTTATTTATACATAA